AATAAAAATATGAAAATGATTATAGAGAGGACAAATAAACTAATCATTTCTCTATTAATATATAAGAATAAAGGATTGTGGTATTCGGAACTTAAGTTTGTTCAGATGAAGAACATTTATTAAGGAAATTTATACTAACCAGCATTCAAAATCTTTTTATTTTACCAAAGCTTTTTGTGTCCTGAGTTTCGTTAGCATTCTAGTATTGGTGAGGTAAAAAAAAAAAAGACAGTAAAGAGGGTATAACTTTTTTTGTTACCGTTTTTTCTCTCTAGTGAGAGAATTAAGTGNTACAGAATTACTTTTGGACATTCTACAATTTAGTTCTCTTAAGGGAAATATGTAGACAAAAAGGTATAAAAGGTTACATTTCGACCAGAAATCCATTCCCTTGTTTCCATCAAGTGATCACAAGTATAGCCTAGTCGGGTAATGCAGTTCCTCGTTCCAAGTTGTTTTTGATCTCCAGCGTGTATTTCCCAAACGCACGCTCGATTTTCTTGTTGAAATGCTCGTTTCTGTCGTTGATGGAATCAATATCCTTCTCTTCTCGGAACTTTCTCCTCCTGCTAAACTCCTNTCNCTTTTGCTCTCTGTCNTGGAGCTCCTGNGCCATCTTATCTATCTTGTCTTTTGAAGTTTTTGGAGCCTGCAAAAGATTAACATACACAATTAAACATATGACTCTCTTTGCTTAAGTCTTTAAGCTACAACTGACCATATTGACAAATAACAAACCTTCCCGTATTGCAANCTTGAGGCCTCGCGGTAAAACTCTGGATCAGCTGCTCTCATTCTGTTATACTCCTCTAGATCAACCTGAACGTTCTTTGTCCGTTTCTTATATGCGTTGTACAACGTCTTCTGGTTGAAGACTGAAGAAAAATAAAGAATTTCACACATTAGCCTTGCAGCAATTGTGATATCATCGACTNGAAACAAATAAATCATAAGAGAGCTGAGTCAAAATTCAGTGAGAATTGCACATACCATCCCAACCAGAAGGTGTAGGTTCCTTTTCCCATTTTTTGTATTTTGTTTCCGCTGCTTCTTGAGTATCGAGCATATACGCCTTTGTCATATCTAAACCATTAGCATCGAGAAGTTTCCCAATCTTTTTCTTCCTCTCCTCCAACCATTTCTGTTTTGAGATGCCTTTTGTCTCTGTTGGTGCTTCCATTTTCTTCTTTTCAGATCCGACATCTGTCTGATTGGATTTCCTTGCTTCATTCTGAGAAAAAGAGTTACATATATGAAACGATCTTACGCACAACGAATTGAGCTAATGACTGTAGCAAAAAAAAGACTTACCATCTTAAGTCTCAACTCAAACAATTTCTTCTTCCTCCCAGTAAGTTGGGTCACATCTACTTCAGATTGTGCATTCAGAGACTGCAGTACATTGTTGGAAACAGGTTACGAGAAAGAAATGCATTTGCCAAAATTGTTACACTAAGTAGCTATTTATTCTAATAGAAAACCAGATTTAGTAAATTTTCCATTCACATCCTTTTAATAAGTTGATTGAATTATGTTCATATTTCATCTATACGAAATCCTACGTCATTCAGTTTCTCTATCAATTATGTGAAAAAGATTACTTGAGTTCTCCCAATAAATCCATGAAATATATCCCCTTTTTGAGGTTAGTTTAGCAGGATTAAGACAGCTACTAACCAGGCCCGCTCCATCATCATCATCCAGATCACCGGTGTTTTGCATTTGTCCACCTTCTGGGACTTCAGTTTGATCTGTTACAGCTGACACCTAAAGAAAAGTAAATATACATCATTAACAGTCATAATATGTGGTG